TTCAAGTCGGACTATATCATATCTTATGTCTGGATAGTGCCTAGCACAATTTGGAGGCTGGGAAATATTATTAAACGTGGACTTTCTAGAATTGAGCTGGGGGATGTTCTTTTAAATGATTTTGGATCTGTGTGTGGTTGTTTTAGGAAAGAGACTAACTTGTTTTAGTAGACAGTCTACAATGAAAAAAGGAATATAATGAAGTCTACAGACGCTAACTTGCAGCACTGTTTGGTAAGCTTAACCACAGACTGTGCACACCAGGAAAACATGACAGACTGACTATATGCAGTAAACATGACCAATTACTGCAAGGGTCAAAGAAATAAGACAAGATCTGCAGCATACAACCCTAATGACCCTGGTTCCTGAGAAAAGAGGCTGAAGTGGACATGGCTTGTGTTAGACAAGTGGAGGAATGAACTAGCTAATGTTACTGTAGCAAGATGTAAAGCACTGTATAATATCTTGCTCTATCTCAGGTGCTGGAAGTGCTTTACCGCACTCCTGGGAGGTAGCTAAGCATTGTTATTTGAGCTAATAATTTCTACACCCGCTTAGGGGTGCATAGTGCTTGACAGAAAAATAAGGAAAAATCCTAAGCCCTCGCCCTCCCCCTCCCCCTCCCCCTCCCCCCTGTTGGTTCTTCCCATTTTAAAGGTGGAGAATCAGAAATTAGTTGACCTGCCCTAGGGCTCCCAGGAAGGCCAAGCACTCAGGGGTCTACTAGTGGGGAAATAAAGCTTCATGGCTGACTGTCCTACAACAAAACTGAAACCTCGGCTTGCTGAGCCAGCTGGAACTCATCTGACCTGCACTTTGAGCCAGAGGAGATGGGGAAGCCAGAGTGGAAAGCGTGTGCTGTTTCCGAGGCTTGGTCTACACTACAGAGTTAGGTTGACATAAGACGGCTTATGTTGAGCTAACTACGTCAGTGTCTACGCTACAGGCTTGCTCCCAGGGATGTAAGTGCCGTACTACGCTTACATAAGCCCTACGCCTCTCGTGGAGGTGGAGTTATTAGGTCGGTGGAGTTAGGGAGACGCGGTGTCTATGTAGACACTGTTCCTTACTTTGGCTGTTGGCTCTCTTTCTTGTCAAGTCAAGAAAGCCAGCTCATGGCTCCCAGCCGGGCAGCTGCCCGGCCTCCCCTCCAAGCCAGGCTGCCACCTGGACTCCCCACTTGGAGCCCTGCTGCCCCCCGGGGTCCTGGCTCCCTACCGGGAGCATGGCAGCCAGACTCCAGGTGCGGATCTCCCTGCTGGAGGCAAGAAGCCCTGGGCAGCTGTCCTCCCCTCACTCCTGTTGGGGAGCTGCACGGAGCTGAGAGCCATGTCTGTCAGCCCCCCCACTTTCCCCCTCTTCAGTGGGTGGAAGCACTCTTGGTGAGGACACATCACTGACAGAAGGAGGGCAGTGTGGACATCAGCCAGTGCAGGAATTACTGTGGTGACTGTAAGTTGACCTAACTTAGGTTGATTTAAGAGTATAGTGTAGACATGCCCTGAATTGCAGACCTAACCAAAACTTCTTTCTGGGGGCTGGTCTATACTAGGAACTTACCTTAGCATACTTACGTCTCTCAGGGATTTGAAAAATCCACATTCCTGAGAACGTAGCTTTGCCAACCCAACCCCTGGTGTAGACAGTGCTGGGTCCACAGAAGAATTCTTCCGTTGACCTAGCTACGGCCTCTCCAGGAAGTGGATTGCCTACGCCAATGGAAGAATCCCTCCCATCGGCGTAGGTAGCGTCTACACTGAAGTGCCATAGCAGAGCAACTGCAGCTGTGTTAGTTTTGTGTATATCTACCTGGCCGTGTTGTAGTAAGGCAAGCTTACTCAGAGCTTCTGTGTCTCTTGCTCTCTGGCTTTGGCAGGGATGTATACGTGGGTCTCTGTAGTGCATTTGTTTGTGGTTTGGTGGTGCAGTTACATGAACTGTGTCACAAAAATGGTGGTGGCAATCCTCCCACTGGAACTGTGCGTGCACGCAGTGCGTTGCTGTCTGGCCCATCGCGGTGTCGGTATTGAAAACTCAGCTATTGGGCTGTATGTTCAGTGAGACTTTCAAAAGCGCCTCAGTGACATAGGAGCCCAAGTCCCATTTTCAAACATGAATTCAAGGTTCTATCTGATGACTCCTTAAATTGGAGCTGTATTTACTTTTGAAGATGCTGCTGCTTCCCTTCCTTTTTTGCTAGATTAAAGCCTTTGTCGGTATTAACTGAGATTACTAAAGTTGACGTGTGGGTGTGTGTGTATGTGTGTATTTTGCTGCTGAGAAGATTACAATATGGGTGAAATTACAGAACATGGGGGTGAGACTGTCTGTTCCTAGCAGTATATTAACTATATTCATGTCCTGATGTGTTAGATTTTTTTTTTTTCTTTCCTAAAGCAGGAACTTTCACAGTCTTTGTGCAGTTTATTTTTCGACTGGGTTCCTTCTCAAACTATTCATCTGAAGTGTTGGCTGGCACATTCATATTTTAATAATGGCAACTCAACAGAGAACACAAAAAGGAATCAAACTAAATTTGATCATAAAAGCGTGTTGCTAGCAGATGGCAGCAAGTTAAAGTGCCATCAGTCTGCGAAGCTATATTGTAAAATAGCACTTCCTTACTTCGCAGATCTTCTCACTGCAGCTCTGAGGCGGAGCTGTTTACTTTATTGACACAAACAACTCATTAGCCCTGCAGTGCATGTACAGCTGGATTCCCTTCCGCCTTGCATATCTTCAGGATAATTTAGCTAAGCTCTGATCACAGAGCCTCTATTATCGTTAGTGACTTCAAAAAGCAGAAAGAACTCAGCTAGGTTTTTTTTTCCTTCCAGACCCTAGACTGAACTTGCAGAACTGCCGTTTGATTTTTCAAACCTCCAATTTCATAAGGAAACTACTGAGAGTAGATAAATATTGAACCTCGTAATGTTAATTCGCTGATCTCATTAGGACTAATTCCTTACTGTCGATGTGAGGTTGAATCATAAAGTTGCATACTTCCTCCTAAAAATTTGAAGGCACACCTTTTTTTCTGTTGGACAATTACTTCTATAATAGTTGTAATGTGTACATATTTAGATACTTGAAAGGGAAATGTAGTATTAATTTATCACTTTGGGGGAGGTCCAGGTTGGATATTAGGAAAAACTATTTCACTAGGAGGGTGGTGAAGCACTGGAATGGGTTACCTAGGGAGGTGGTGGAGTCTCCTTCCTTGGAGGTTTTTAAAGCCCAGCTTGACAAAGCCCTGGCTGGGATGGTTTAGTTGGGAATTGGTCCTGCTCTGAGCAGGGGGTTGGACTAGATGACCTCTTGAGGTCCCTTCCAACCCTGATATTCTATGATTCTTTGGAGAAAGGTGGTCAGTCATGATAAAAAACTGCTTACTGATATCCAGCACTGTAGATTTATATTGTACTTTACAAATGAAGGGCAAGACCAAAAAAAATTTTTAAAGCTAGGATGGGAAGGACATGGGACAACAATATAAGGTGTGGAGATTGAGAAGTGTAAAGTAGGAAGGATTCCTGGAAGAAATGGGTTAGGAGGAAAGTATGTTTCAAGTCTATCTATGATTTGCTTCAAAATGCATTAATGAAACAGTTTGGCTGTGAAAGCCAGACACTAATGAGGTTCTGGTTGTGTTTGAGAACACAATCCCTCTTTGGCTGTTCCATAAATGTTCTATACCATTATATGTTACCATTTATAAAATAGAAGTTTTATATTTGTCATATTGTATGTAGCTCGATTCAGAATGTTGGTATGAACGATTGACTCTGAGGTTGCCATCTGTCATTGGTAAGTTAATTTCTCCCAGATTTGGTTCTTTGACAAGGGTGACTGATTTGGTGAATGAGGGGGAATGCAATGGACATCTATACCTGGACTTCAGGAAGGCTTTTGACATAGTCCCACATGACGTTCTGATAAATACGCTGGAGAAAAGCAGCCTTGACCGAACTGCCATTAAATGGATACATAATTGGTTAAACAACCACAAACAAAGAGTAACTGTTAATGGAATGTTATCGGATTGGAGGGAGGTTTCAAATGGGGTTCCACAGGGATCTGTTCTGGGTCCAGTGTTTAACATCTTTATTAATGACCTGAATGTAGGTATAGAGAGTGTACTGATCAAGTTTGCAGATGACATAAAGCTGGCGAGGGGGGCAGGGGGTTTGCCAGTACTTTGGAGGCTAGAACTAAAATTCAGAGGGGGATCACGGTGCAATGAAGTTTCAGAACCCCTGGACTAGATGACCTGTGCGGTCCCTTCTAACCCTGTGGTTCTATGATTGGCAATAAAGTCTTAGATTTGATCCAGAGCTTTAAAGCCACACTTTAATTTGGTCTGTCTTATATTCATTCTGCCAGTGGTTACGTCCTGGGGCAGTTCAGTAAACGTTTATCCTGATCCATTTTTTTGACTGTTGTGGAGTTGATAGGTATCCCCACACAGAACTGTGGTGGTCAGTAAGGTGTGTGGGAGAGAGAAAGAGGTGCCTCTCAGATGGAAACTTGGGAAACTGCACACTTGGGAGTAGCTTTTTGCAAAAGTGGAACACTCGCCTTGACATGGACCAGGCCACTTGAGACGTGTTCACAGTTTGCTGGTGACATTATCATGGGCTTCATGTGAAGTCAGTAGAGTAACTATAGCTTTATGTGTAAGTAACGGAGGGCCGGGGCAAACTAGTTATTTACACAGAATAATCCCATGCAGCCCATCAGGCGAATAATGAGCCCTTTCAGGAGAGAGACAGTGGCACCAGGAGCTGGGATGCTCATACTCACTGCTCGGCACACTGAACCAGAGCTCACACAGTCCACTGTTGTACTGCTCCTGAATTCCAACTCCCTTTCATTGCCCGGTAGTTGATTCGCCTCAAACTCTCTGCCTTGCTTTTAACAAGACTCCGTCATGTGTGCATTAATTCTCCATCATGCCGAACACAGCCCTAACGCGCCACTCTTTCTGTTTCTGCCAGCAGCCTGGAATAGTGTCCCCTTTCAAACGCGTCTTCCTGAAAGGTGAAAAGGGTCGGGATAAAAAGGCCCAGGAAAAGGTTACGGAAAGACGACCTCTTCATACAGTACTGCTGTCCTTGCCTGATCGAGTTGAACCAGACATATTGTTGAATGACTACATTGAAAAGGAAGTCAAGGTAACTCTTTTGGGCCGGAGGGGGAGCCGTGTCTTTCATTCACCTTTCAGCCGCCACCTCCTGTCGAATTCGTGGCCACGTTCAGTAAATGACTTGGTCGATTACGTTGCTGCAATGCACAACCTGGGCGTTAAACTGCGTCTGAAATCCTACGTGAATTCACTCGCACAGCTCTCCGCTCTTCAAGGGGGAAGCTGCTGACCTGGAGATGCCCACGTGTCCGTAAATTGCGACGTTCGACGTCTGTCTCCGTGTGGGTGGTAGCTCCTCAGCGATGGGTGCAGGGGACACAGCCTCGCTCCACTGGCTCCCCCTTCATTTTAGGGCCAAGTTCAACATTTCAAATCCCTAGGGGACTTCCTCTGACTGACCTAATGGACTGTGTGTGCGCGTCCCTTTACGTGATCTCCGCACTCGTAATACTGGACTTTTCTCTGCAGCTCCTGCCATCTGGAACAGCCCTCTTGTGTATTTCCCCCTCATCAACTGTCTGCTCTGACAGTTCAGCTGAAAATGATCTATTCCTGGTCACTAGTTAATTCTGTAACTATATTTAACTCCTGTAAAGCCTTTGGGATACAGCCTGTATGAAAGATGCTAAAGAGAATATTGTATAATCTGACCATACAGAAATCTAGTTGGAAGGCTTGCTGGAGAATGACCGCTGTCAGTAATGTTTTGCTAGATCCGTGGTTTTCAAACGGGGGTACATGCGTTCTCATTGGGAGGTATGCGAGAAAAATCCTATAATGGCCGACAACATATTTGATTTAGTAAGACTTGGCAGTCTAATCATGGGGTCATACTATACCTATCTCTAGTAGGGGTATGTGGCAGACTACATTATTCGGGAAGGGGTATGGAGCCTAAAAAGTTTGAAAACCTCTGTGCTAGATTATGCTCCACTAGACTTAGATGCTCACCCTTTGACCGGCTGAAAGGGACAGAATTTCAGCTCCTAGAAGCCAGCCGTATAAATCGTGACCACCTTGAGTAGCTTCATCAATTGTCTTCTATCGTGAGTGGGTTTCAGGTGACTACTAAAGGTGGCATTGAGACAACAACCAGGCAATATTTCTCTCCAGACCGGGCTCAAGAAGCTATTTCCAACTAATGTATTTTTCTTCTTTCAATTTATCCCAATTTCTGTGAGTACAGATGGAAGGATTTCAATGTGTCGGTTTATATATCACATGGTAATGGACCTTTTTTTTTTTTTCTTCCCAGTATTTAGGCCAACTAACATCCATCCCAGGGTACCTGAATCCCTCCAGTCGTACTGAAATATTGCATTTAATAGACAATGCAAAGGTGGGTACCAGTCCATTCCAGTGCTGTATCCCAAGCCCTTGCTGAATGAACCATACCAGCTCTACAGTCGCTACTGTTCATAGTCAATATTTGCACGTAGGACCATAGATATGGATGGGGCTGGGCAGCGAGGTTAAAGTCTCGATCCTTGTTCTGAGAAGTCTTGCAGCCCAAGAACTAGGATGCGATGTGATGCAGGGCTAGATGACTGAAGTCACAAGAGTAGAAGAGAAGCTTAAGCAAAGAGGGTTATTGTGGGATTGTTTGAAATGTGTATCCTGTTGGTTCCTATTCTCAAATGATCTTAGTCCTTGTATTTTAATAGGGAAAGGTGACTTATACGTGACCAATTATCAGGTGCCCAGAAAATGAACTGCAGATGGGTGGTGTGGGGGTGTTCCCTTCCTCCCTGGGGAGATGTACGCCATTGTGATCGCCTGGGGGTAATGAAACGGGAAACGATTCTACCTTTTTCGTTTGTAGAGGGCACATCAGCTCCCCGGGCAGCTGACCCAGGAACATGATGCTGTGATTAGTCTGTCTGCCTACAACGTCAAGCTGGTGTGGCGGGATGGAGAGGATATCATACTCAGGGTCCCCATCCATGACATCGCATCTGTGTCATACATCCGCGATGACTCCTCACACCTGGTAGTGCTGAAAACAGGTAGGTTGTGGCCAGAACAGGGATTGCAATGCAGGTTGCATCTGTTCTCGGATTTTGGAGTCTAAGGGCCTGAGTCTCATTTTCACTAAGGCCTTTTTACACCACTCTGGTGGCGTAAAAGGACCTTAAAGTGGACATATGTCATGCTTACACCCAATTTAAGGCTCTTAGCTCTCAGATCGGCTTAGTGAAGTGGAAACCGCCATTAATTTTCCCAGTGCATGTGAACAAAATATTTCATCAGTTTAGACGTACCAGTAAGTTTGGATAGAACTGGTGCTTGTTTGTTTGTGGTTTTCTTTAACATAGGAACATAAGGCTGGAAGGGATTTCCTGCTGTCACAGCCAACCCTGTCATATAATCCCATTCATAAACTAGTCTGGTTGTGTCCCTCCCCCCCACTCCTCCTATTAGAAGGCTGTTTTGAAAGATTTCCGTTGCTAATCACTACTACAGCAGTGTGTCCGAACTCACTGCAGGTGTCACTGCCTAGAAGTGCTCACCTGGCTGATGTGGAAAATGTGCTCTACATAGTGCACTTCAGTTCGAATCGACATACCCACATCCTAGGTCTCAATGAACATTAAGGAGAAATGTGCGCGTTGCGTGTTTGTTCTGAATCCGCATGCAAGACTGCTGTAAAAGTCAGGAACTGCTCAGGAATCACTCCATCAGGTCTGGTTACTACATTTAAACGCATCTTCTGGTGTAATTGGAGCTGATACTTTTCTTCCTGGTGAATCTAATGGCAGCGATTTGTTGTTTGACAGAGATGACCAATATAGAGACTAAACTAATATCTCAGTGATGAAGCTGTAACTCTCCTGGTGGGTTCTTGCAGCTGCCTAAACCACAACAGTGAAGCTAGTGATACATGAAGTTGTCACAACCCTTCACTGAATAAGAGCCTCATAAGTCGAACAGTTTCTGTTTTATACAATGCATGGATCTGAGGCCTGGATCCGTGCTCTACACTAGTGACTGCTGCTCCACAAGAGGGAGCGCTCTCCTTTGCCTTCCTTCTCTGGCAGCTTTGCAGTCCCCATGGCCTGACTGAGTTGACTCCAGGTTTAATTCACTCAACCTTCCTTGCACTCTTACAGGACACTTCCGTGTAAGCGCAAACTATAGAGGGGCTTAGGAAGATGTGGAATTAGTCCTTCGTTCTCGCAGTATAACGGGCCAGTTAAGCTCAGCTGCAGCTAACATGAAAAATAGTGAAAGCGGCTTAGCCCATCGACCGTACTTGGCTGATCCTAATGGAAATTTCTTACGAAATACGGGAATGGGGACGACAGGGGCAAAACTTGATCAGGTTCCACTTTTCAACCGTCAAAATCTGATTTGCTCTGAATGGATTGAATTGCCAAACTGCCAAGTTGGTTGCCAAACTCTAGAATGAGAGTGGGGAGCTGATCTGTGTCACCATCTCAAACCTATTCCGAAAGATGGAGGAAATACTGGCGAATCACAGGCCACACGCGGGAGGGGATAGTGCATTTGAAAAACAAACTCATTCTGTCCCAAACAATGGGAATCCGATCAGGATGGCAGCTGGCCACTTGCAATGCCTAGGTCTGCATCAGTGAGTTAATCACTTCCATATCCCCTCCTCTCCTTTCCTCTCGCTATTCGTTAATAGCGTCTCTGTCTCTCAGCTCAGGACCCTGGGATCTCCCCAAGCCAGAGTCTTTGTGCAGAGAGCTCCAAAGCACTTACTTCAGGCTCGCTGTCCGAGAGTGGCGTGGTACCTGTCGAAGCTTGTTGTTTGGTGGTCCTGGCTACAGAGAACAAAGTAAGACTTAATTACCTTGTAGCTCCAGATGGTCTTAATTTTGTGTCCTGATCTTGTAACTTCAGTCAAGATCCCATGGAACAGCAGCTCTTTGGTTTGCAATGATGCTGCTACCTGTGAAATGGAGTGGCAGGAAGGCTGCATGGGATTATTCTGTGTAAATAAATGGATTGCTCCGGCCCTCCGTTACTTACACACAAAGCTGTAGTTACTCCACTGACTTCACAGGAGTCGCTCCAGGCTATGCAGAATAACATGAGATCAGAATCCATCCCGATGCGAACTATAAGGTGCTCCTGTAGTAACTTGAGATGGGTAAGCTTGGCAGGCAAGAATAGTATACAACATACTTATTCAATGAATTATTAAGGCTTCATCAGTGTGTTAGGCACAGTACAAATAAAGAAATATGGTCCCCATCTCAAGCTTCACAATCTAATTCAAATGCGCTAGAGAGCAGCTCTTTCTAGCAGACGCTGTCTGCTGCCCAGCTCCCACATCTGCCGTCAGGAATCTGGGAAAGCCACTGCTTGGCTACTGCACCCTTACAGCGCTTCTGAGCGTGCTGCTAAGGGGCGTAACGATACGCCGGGAGGCGGTTCCCTCGTAAGCTCCTCCTGCCCAGGTCAAAGAGAGGGGGAGCAACAGCCACCACATAAATCCACTCCCTCAAGGGCAGAGGCTTTGCCCTCCTTTGTCTTAAACTCTGTTATTTGTACAGCTCCCAAAGGGGTGCTAGGGCCGTGCAGAGGGGCACAGGTTGCTGCCCTCCAACGTTTACAGTCTACAGATGTGGCAAGGTAGCTGCAAACCCAGTGGGCTGAGCGGGAGAGTAGAACAAGGTTCTAGAAATAAGACCATGAGGTACTTAGTCAGGGGTACTTGAATATTCAGATTTTGTTTTCAGTATACCCCACATTCCTATCATCAAATAGCCTCAGGTTAGATCTGTGAAACAAAGATGATGAGTGTATCTGGGTTGCATGAAATCTGTCAGTCTTTATGGATTGGAGACCACCCTGGGGTATAAAATAACAGAACTGGGCTGTGCTCACGTTCCAGGGTTTCTTCTTTACCAAGCCTTTTTACTAGCACAGATACTGAAATCCCCTGAACAGGCGCCTCGGGTCTGCAGTGTCCTGAGGAGTCAGTCCGGTGGCTGCGGTAGGAAGCACCCCCAGTTCCGGAACCATGGGGTTCTCTCTAGTTAATGGTGATGTCGTGCCCTTATAAATACCGGTGGTGATGAGTCTGAGTGTGCCCTGTGGTGCAGCTCCTTTGGGGGATGAATAGGAGCACGTGCTGTCTCTTTTGAAGGCATCTTGCACCATAACCTCCCTGACTGACGCTTCTTTCTCTCCCTCCCCAGGTAACTGCAGAGGAACTCTGCTCACTTCTCAGCCAAGTCTTCCAGATCGTTTACACTGAGTCCACAATAGACTTCTTAGATAGAGCAATATTTGATGGGGCCTCCACACCAACGCGCCATATGTCCCTACACAGTGGTATGTCAAGTGCCGTTTCCTTTCACTCTTAGGAAGAATCCTCCCCTTACGACCCAGGCTTGCTCTGCCTCCGGCTCTCCTACGAACCGCAGCACTTGGGTGTAGCAATACCTTTTGCTTCCCTTCCCCATTCACGCTCCTGGTTCTATGACGGAGAAACTGGATCCAAACAGAGGCCCAGGTCTTAATAACCGTAGGCCTTCCTGGGGCCCTGTCTTACTACTAAATGTATTGTGAACCGCGAGTGGGCGATGCATCTCAAATGCCACCAGCTTCGTGACAGCTGCGGCCCTGATCTAGCCTTTGTGTGGAGTTGAATGGCCCAAAGAACTGTCTCCTCCCTGATCATCATCATTTGGAGCTGTCCCTTTCCCATAGCTATGGGGCAAGCAAGGCCGTAGGAGATTGGAACATGGTAGCTGTCCCGCACCTGTCCACAGATGTTCTGTATTTTTTGTTTCCTTTTTAATCAGTGGAGGCAGTTTATTAAAGTGGTGCTTTGCAGTTCAGCATTATCCTGCTCTTGGCCTCCTGATACTGTTTAAGCGATAGAAGACACCCCCCCCCGACCCCTGTCCCGTACGTCTTATTTTTCATACTCTAGCCCTGGACACTCAGATTGGAACGACGCGTGTCCATGACCAGCAGGTTAGGAAATAGACAGCATTTGTGACTATAAATCGCTTGACTGGAATATCTTCCTTGCAGATGACTCTTCAACAAAAGTGGACATTAAAGAATCTTACGAAACAGAAGCAAGCACTTTGTAAGTTGGTCGTACGCATTCGGGAAGGGGGTGGTTTGGCTTAGATGGATGATATATGTAGTCCTGACATCGGGTTTACAGTCTAAAAGGGGGAACTTTCACAATACACGCGCTGAATGTCTTTTGATAATGACAGCTGGAACACTCGACACAGATATTGCTGTCTACATAGCCCTCCATCCCTGCCTGCTCAAATTCCCTTGCTTTGTAGCTACATTTAGTACAGTATTCCAGAGAAGTCCATAGAACAGGGGTGGGCAAACTTTTTGGCCTGAGGGCCACATCGTGGTTCCGAAAGTGTATGGAGGGCTGGTGTAGTGTATTAAATTGCTCCCTGTAGGAATGTGCTACTTATGGCTGCCAGTCCTGGTGCTCTGAGTGGCCTGGTAAGGGGGCGGGGAGCAGGGGGTTGGATAAGGGGCAGGGGTCCCGGGAGGCAGTCAGGGGGCAGGGGTGTGGATAGGGGATGGGGCAGTCAGGGGACAGGGAGCAAGGGGATTGGATGGGGGTGGGGTCCCGGGGGTGGTGGTCACGGGACAAGGAGAAGGGGGAGGGGGGGTTGGATGGGTCGAGGGTTCTGAGGGGGGCAGTCAGGGGGCGGGAAGCGGAAGGGGGCAGGTAGGGGGCAGGGGCCAGGCTGTTTGGGGAGGCACAGCCTTCCCTAGCCAGGTGTAGTGTATTAACTTGCTCCCTGTAGGAATGTGCTACTTACGGTGTACTATTTATGGCTGCCTTCCCTGGTGCTCTGTAAGTAGCACATTCCTACAGGGAGAAATTTAATACACTGCACCCTGGCGACTCTCACAGCCGTGCTGCCCGGCAGGAGCTCGCAGTCCCGCTGCCCAGAGCACTGGCAGCACAGTGAGCTGAGGGGCCGGGGGCTAGCCTCCCCGGCCGGGAGCTCCAGGGCTGGGCAGGACGGTCCTGCAGGCCGTAGTTTGCCCACCTCTGCCATAGAATATGCTTCCCTCCCATGTAGTGGTTGAGTACAAGAGTTATGAGACAACTCTTCCCTCTGAGCTGGCTAAATTTGGTGGGGTCCTAACACCTTGTCCAAGTCTCCAGGATCCTTCCGATACAAGAAGACGGCCTCAGCTAAAATGAGTTTAGCAGAGACACACTGGGAGGGTGTCCTGGGGTGACAGTAATGGAGCTCTCAAGGTGGCTCACAGATCCATTGCATTTCAGCTCCTTTCCGGAATCTTTGGATACAGGCGGCAACTCGCCCTCTTCCTTCTCAACGCCTCAGTCGCCCCACGTTAAGACGGTCAGTGAAAGCGAGCTGAGCACCACGGCAACGGAGCTGCTCCAGGACTACATGATGACGGTAGGAATGTCTGCATCAGAGGCCAGGCGCTGTCTGTTCGTAGCAGAGTGGCCGTGCGTGCAAGGGGACATGAGCGCTTTACGGTAGCGTCAGCCAGGCCAGCATTCTTGGGAATGCGGTTGTGCCCTGAGCATGGAGTCAGAACCCCACGGCAAGCTCTGACAGCGGGTCAGAAACACAGCACCAGTCCTATAAACGACCTTGGTTTGTTTTCTTCTCTTGTATAACATTGCTTCATGGTCACTTAGGAATTGTAGGGATTCAGGTCAGATGCCATCAAGCTAATTTCCACTTGGAGCCTAAATAGGGTTTGAACATAAGCTGGCTCTGGAGGTAAATGACTTGAGCACAGCTTCCCAGCACTGCTCCCTCCCTCCTTCGAGCAAAGGCTCTCGTGAATGAGAACAGTCTTAGATAAAAGCTGCCTGACTCCTGTGATGGACAATGCTTAAGTGGTGATGCTGCCAGAACGGGTAGGACTGTAGAGCATGCTATTAAATTGACATTTGGAGCACAATTGTAGGAGCAATCGCTGAAGTTGGTCACTGAATTAATAGGGTTAGAAATAACCTAAGAAGGATTTAAACAAAGTGTATTAATCGGTTGCCTCCTTTCTGAGAGTCCCTTTGTGAGCAGTGGGTTTTTCACCTACAAACAAGGTACCGTTTGCAAAAAAGGAATTGCTGTTACTGTTAGTACCTGTACACACCAGGTGATTGACGCTCGGAGTGTAGCTCCTGGCTGCGGTTGCCTATGGTATTGCTCTCGAGCTGATTCCTCTGGAGGGCATCTGGCTATCACCATGGCCTGCAGCTGCCCCGTCCTTTCTGGGGGATGCACTGAGCAGAGCGTGTAGGAGAACTCTGCTGTCAGCCAGAGGACTTGGGTGTTTGTTTGGGAAGGTGGGTGCACGAGGGCTGTTTCTGCTGGGTGTTGGTGACGTCAGAGGGATATTGGTGGCTTTGCAAAGACTGATGGGCAAAGTCTCAAGACCCCACCCTGCTACATGGGCCTCAGCTCCTGTTTCTTAAACACCCACTTATAGTCAGCCTAGACACTCATTAGCTTGAGCGCCGTAAGATGGAGCAGCATTTCTAGGTTAACCCGTGCCTCTAGAGGGTGGATTTCTTACAATATTGTCTCCCTTCGCCAACAACGACATGGGCTGAGTCGTTAATGTGATTAAACAGTCAGTTTGTTAGGGGAGTGTCAGTCCCTGCTTTGTCCACCACTAAGTGACCCTTACTTGCTGTTTTTAACAGAGCCCATTGAATGTTGTTCCTCACTAGCCATGGCTTCTCCACTATTAAAAATAAGGTCAAATCGTGCCTTGTGCTTCTTCTCCTTAGCTAAGAACCAAACTCTCTTCCCAAGAGATCCAGCAGTTTGCAATGCTCCTGCACGAATATCGCAATGGGGCTTCAATACACGAATTCTGCATCAACCTGAGACAGCTCTATGGGGACAGTAGGAAATTCCTGTTACTAGGTAAGTTTCAGCTAAGCTGGACTAACATCTAGATAACAGACCTGGGAGGGAGAGGAAAGCTGGCCTGTGGGGGATCAGAGTAGCAGCCGTGTTAGTCTGTATCTGCAAAAAGAACAGGAGTCCTTGTGGTACCTTAGAGACTAACACATTTATTTGAGCATAAGCTTTCGTGGGCTACAGCACACTTCTTCGGATGCATGTGGGGGATCAGACTCTCTCATCCTGAGCCTCTTGGGGCAAGTTGCTTCTGGTGTTGCTGTCAAGCCCAAGGGAATTGTGCTCAGACCTTCTGAGAAGTATAGTTTGATCGGATGCAGGATCCTAGGGGGGCAGATTCTGGAAGATACAACCTTCCTTCTCCCAAGGCTTGGGTTTGATGTGCCAAACTATACAGTAAAGCTGCAAATGCTTTGTGGTTCTTGCTCACTTTGGTTTAGTAATGTTCACTGACTTCAGTAGTCTTCAAAGTCCAATGTGAACTTGTCTTTCTCTTGCTTTCCCCATTGATCAGAAGTGCAATGGGAGAAGTCTGTAGGCAGCTGGCGATGATCCTGTGCTGCACACGCTGGCCCCCCAGCAGTTCTCTGAAAAAGTGGTGATCAGGCTTAGTTCCTCCTGCTCCAAAGTACAGGTCTCGCCCATGTGAACTATGGGTGGGCTGTTTTGCTGGTAGTAGTACAGGGCCTATGACACACGTTTGAACAGGTCCGATGCGATTCTGTCGAGGGCAGTAGGGCCCCCTGCAGATCAGCCTGTCCCTATTAAAACGATGCCTTGGGAATGGATCCAGGGCAATGTTTCTGGGAAATGTTTGTAAAATTCCATTGGAAAGGTGGTTTACGTTCAGACCTCCCCTTGCGTTGTCTTCAATCGAAACACTGCACCATCCTTCACTGGAAAGTGAACAGACTAGTGAATTCATTAGCCACGCTAAAAGAAATGCAAAAATAAATAACGAATAGCAAACCACATTGTCAATTTGTTTTCAATGTTAATAGTCCAAGAGAGTGGTAATAATCGGACATTTAGGGTCCTTCCTCAGCTGCTGAAGATTGCCTTAGCGCAGTGGTTCTCAAACTTTTGCACTGGTGACCCCTTTCACACAGCAAGCCTCTGAGTGCACCCCCCCACCGTAAATGAAAAACTTTTTTTATATATATTTAACACCATTATAAATGCTGGAGGCAAAGTGGGGTTTGAGGTGGCGGTTGACAGCTCGCGACCCCCCATGTAATAACCTCACAACCCCCTGAGGGGTCCCAACCCCCAGTTTGAGAACCCCCGCCTTAGCGTCATTCAAATCGGTGGAGTAAGGCTCCAGTGACATCAGCTGAAGATCTGTCTCCTTGTTTTTAAAAATGCCTTGTTAACCTGACAGAGCCCTTTGAGACCGTCTGGGCCACGTCATGTCCTTGTCACCTTAGTGTGCGTCGTTTTCATGAATGTCTGCGTAGCTCTAGGAATAACATTGGTTCTGCTAATGAACAAACAGAGGAAGTGAAAGAGCATAACATCCCTCCCGTTGGTCCAACACAAATAGCATCTAAAAATGTCTTGGTAGTGGGAAGGAGGTATTTTGTTAAAGTAGATATTTAGAATCCAAGGACTTTGCCCTGCCTCTATGTGGGTCTGTGCCTTTAAATCCATCTGGAAACTGAAGCTGGCGCAGAGTTCAGCAGCAGCTTATCCAGCCATGTATCTTTGGAGAGCCCAAGACACCAGCGCTCTGGGATCCACGCTGGCTGCCTGCTGAGTTCCAGGTGGAGGTTGATGGTGTAACGATGCTGGTTCCGGCGGGACCCAACGGAGAGTGCCAATTTAGGACAAATTGCTTAAAGGAGGGCAGTTACAGCCCAAGGCTGGGGTTTTTCCACCTCTAAGGCAAACCAAACCAAACCAGCCAGCCAAAGAGGACTTTGGTCTCACCCCACTGGCTAACCACATGTCACACAAGCGATTCCCTTAGACACTCCAGTTTCCCAGTATCACCACCAGTGCCACTCGTTATGGGGACAAATGGTTATGAAAACCAATACCCCAGTAAAAGAAAAAAGGTTCGATCCCAAAGGACCAAGCCCCAGACCCAGGTCAAATCTTACCCACAAATCACACTGTTGCCAATCCTTTAGAATCTAAAATCCAAAGGTTTATTCATAAAAGGAAAAAGATGAGAGCTAGAACTGGTTAAATGGAATCAATTACATCCAGTAATGGCAAAGTTCTTGGTTCAGTCTTGTAGCAGTGATAGAATAAACTGCAGGTTCAACTCAAGTCTCTGGAACATCCCCAGCTGGGATGGGTCCTCAGTCCTTTGTGCAGAGCTTCCATTTGTAGCAAAGTCCCTCCAGAGGTAAGAAGCAGGATTGAAGACAAGATGGAGGAGCTTCAGCAGCTTTTTATAGTCTCTTGCCATGTGGTCTCTGCTTTCTTTGTCCCAAAGCAAACTGTCCATCACATGGCATGGGAAAACCTCAGAGTCCTGTCCATAGGCATGTCCCTGCATGCCTTGCTGAGTCACAAGGCGTATCTGCCTTCTCTCAATGGGTCAGTTGTATAGCTGATGGTCCTTTAATGGGCCATTAAGCAGGCTAGACGGTGCTGACACCAACTTGTCTGGTGTCACCCAGAAGCATAGCATACGTTTGAAATACAGACTGTATAGAGCCAATATTAATAACTTCAACTACAAAAATGATACACACATACAGATAGCATAATCATAACCAGCAAACCATAACCTTGTCTTAGACACCTTATTTGACCTCTTTTTATAAAAGATTTGGTGCCACTACAGGACCTTGGTTGCAACAATGATCTATATGGTCCCAGTTCATGTCAATAACGTCACAGATGGGGAAAGAGTTTTGACCCATAAAGCCCTGAGCAGGTTGGGTCATGTCTGTCTGAGACTGATACTGACCCAGCTGCAGTCAGTGGAGGTGCAGAAGTGGGAGCCCCTCGGTAGACAAGCTCGGTAGACGAGCTGCCGGCAGAGAGTTGTATGAGGGGCAGTCAATACAGGAGGTCAGGCTAGGTGATCCAGCAGTCCCTTCTGGCTCTAAACTCTATGTAGCTGAATGCTCCCTTTTTCAAGTGCTGGTCCCTACACGTTCTCCATGGTGAGTACACATTTGCTCCGTGCACCCGAGGCTGGAGAATTTTGAAAGCAGTGTCGGTTGGTCCCAGACTGGCAGCACAGTATGAAGGGGAGGTGACCAGCCCTCTGTGGTGAAAGAAGTGGTTGGGGACTATTTAGAAAAGCTGGACAAGCACAAGTCCATGGGGCCAGATGCGCTGCATCTGAGGGTGCTAAAGAAGTTGGCAAATGTGACTGCAGAGTCATTGGCTGTTATCTTTGAGAACTCATGGCGATCGGGGGAGGTCCCGGATGACTGGAAAAAAGCTAATGTAGTTCCCATCTTTAAAAAAGGGAAGGAGGAGGATCCGGGGAACTACAGGCCAGTCAGCCTCATCTCAGTCCCTAGAAAAATCATGGAGCAGGTCCTCAAGGAGCACTTGGAGGAGAGGAAAGTGATCAGGAACAGTCAGCATGGATTCACCAAGGGCAAGTCATGCCTGATTAACCTAATTGCCTTCTATGAGGAGATAACTGGCTCTGTGGATGAGGGGAAAGCAGTGGACATGTTGTTCCTTGACTTTAGCAAAGCTTTTGATACAGTCTCCCACAGTATTCTTGCCAGCAAGTTAAAGAAGTATGGGCTGGATGAATGGACTATAAGGTGGATAGAAAACTGGCTAGATCGTCGGGCTCAACGGGTAGTGATCAACGGCTCCATGTCTAGTTGGCAGCTGGTATCTAGCGGAGTGCCCCGAGGGTTGGTCCTGGGGCCAGTTTTGTTCAATATCTTCATTAATGATCTGGAGGATGGCATGGACTGCACCCGCAGCAAGTTTGCAGATGACACTAAACTGGGAGGAGTGGTAGATACACTGGAGGGTAGGGACAGGATACAGAGGGACCTAGACAAATTAGAGGATTGGGCCCAAAAAAACCTGATGAGGTTCAACAAGGACAAGTGCAGAATCCTGCACTTAGGACGGAAGAATCCCTTGCACTGCTTCAGACTAGGGACCGAGTGGCTAGGCAGCAGTTCTGCAGAAAAGGACCTAGGGGTTACAGTGGACGAGAAGCTGGATATGAGTCAGTGTGCCCTTGTTGCCAAGAAGGCTAATGGCATTTTGGGCTGCATAAGTAGGAGCATTGCCGGCAGATTGAGGGACATGATCACTCCCCTCTATTTGGCATTGGTGAGGCCTTATCTGGAGTACTGTGTCCAGTTTTGCGCCCGCCCTCCCCGCGCGGACTACAAGAAGGATGTGGAAAAATTGGAAAGAGTCCAGCGGAGGGCAACAAAACTGATTAGGGAGCTGGAGCACATAACTTATGAGGAGAGGCGGAGGGAATTGCACATTGCAGTCCACAGAACCTCACCCACCCCTGTAATAGACCCCTAACCTCTAGCTGAGTTACTGAAGTCCTCAGTTTAAAGACTTCAAGTGACAGAGAATTCACCATTTAAACTAGTTTAAACTTGCAATTGACCTTAGTTTACCTTATTGTAACTGGAAGTTCTTCGAGATATGTGGTCCCTGTGTGTATTCCACTACCCACCCTGCTTCCCCCCTGTTTTGGATCTTCTCTGATTCACGGTAAAGAAGAAACTGGGGAGACAGTCGGTCCACCCTGCCCTTTATCTCCCTGGTCAGAGGCGTGAGGTGAGCCAGGGCACATATGTGAACCAATGGATGCTGCTTTCAAAATCCTCCAGCTCTGGGCACATGCGTACTCAGTGGAATACAGATAGGAACCACACATTTTGAAGACCCTCCAGTTACTATAAGGTAAGTAACTTTCTCTTCCCCCAACATCTGACATAGCCTTAATTTGTAGATTCTGCAAGGCCCATCTCTTTGCCCAGCTTTTGGGTTTGGAAGGGCATAAAAGGACTGGTGTTTGGGTCTCTAGTCCACCTGTGAAT